ATGCATTTACTTTTGCCCTCAAACCTATGCCCTTCCCATAATTTGATAAATTTTCTTCAGGCTCTCCAGAAATAGAATCTCTTCCAGTTTGTTACCAACATCCTCTGTCTTTCATACTAAGGACACATTTGGCTTTCTTTTCATTGCCCATATATTTCTTAAAATACACCTTGGGAAAGATGACATGTTTAAAATGCAGTGGAGCAACCTGCTCATAAAGCTCTGAGATCTGAACAAAGTGAGAACATGACGAATGAGTATGAATTATGCACTGGATCGCACAAGAGTTCCGAAACAGGAAAACTGACTCTGCGGGTGTGGCTCTACAACCATATAATGTGGTTTACAGTTTAAAACATCGACTATAAAACACCATCTCGAAGCGAGTTTGGGTTTGGTTATAACCAAAGCAAAAGAAAGCCCACTCACACTAACAATGACCTTTACACCTGTTTGGGTTTCTTAGTAACTTATTTTAACAGATTGTCTATACAAGATGGAGTTTTATGACTGGCATCAGTCCAAAGGTGGAGAAAACGTGAACAAAGTGTGTTTAGCCATATTTTTCAGTGCATTTAGTTCTCGTGAAATGTAACAACAGATGGATTCCTGGGGCGTGGAATTTTCCTTTTTTCTTTTTTGGGTAAAATAAGTACCCAACAAGTAGAAACTATAAAATGAACATAATTCTTCTTCCAATTTTCCCAAAAGAGAAAATAGTCTTTAAAAAGTATTCACTCCAGTTATCAAACAAAAAATAAGAGCTTCCACCAAACCATTTCCTTTCCCCCAAAAGTCCCGTTGGCTCTGCCTGCTTGTGGTTTGGACTGATGAGCCTTTCCATACAACAGGAAATATAAGACACACAAATAGAGGGCGGGACAGTAGACCACCAATCAGTAAACATGAAAAAATGGGAGAAATTAGGTTGTGTCATAGAAAAAAAGAAATCACATTGGGAGACAGGAAGCAATGACAATTTTATCCTCCTTGAGAAAGATGCATATAAATTAGCTGTGCATTATATATGGATTATTTTGGGCCCATGTGCACTACAGCAAATTAAAAATGGATTCTGGAGCTGGCCCAGTGGCAGAGTGGTTAAGTTCGCATGTTCCGCTTTTGTGGCCCAGGGTTCACCTGTTCAGATCCCAAGTGCAGACCTACACACTGCTTATCAAGCCATGCTGTGCCAGGCATCCCACCTGTAAAATAGAGGAAGATGTGCATGGATGTTAGCTCAGGGCCAATCTTCCTCAGCAAAAAGAGGAGGATTGGTGGCAGATGTTAGCTCAGGGCTAATCTCCCTCAAAAAAAAAAATTTAAAAATGGATTCAGAAAAACATGAGAGTTGGGAGGAGGGGACAGACAGCCTTATCTGCTGTCTATCCCCTGGATAGGAGCTCTCAAAAGCAAAAACCTCTCACTGATCCACTGCTACCTGCTAGGAAAGAGTAAATTAAGACTGAAAAAACAACTGAACTCCTTAGAAGTACTGCTTCTTTCACTAGAACCTTCCAGGGAGGAGGGGATTGTTAAGTCATTCTGTTGGTATCTTGTTTGGTTTTGCGTTTGTATGCGTCTGCACCCTCCTTTGTTTCCCCTGAAGTGGAAGTTATCAATGTATCACAGGAATGTCAAGTCTCATGAAGTTCCTATCTGCTCCGGACAAGGAAGGAGGGAGGGTATCACTCTGGTACCTGTTCTTGGAAAATTTGCGGAACAAAGAAAAAACAGAAAGGATCAGATAAATTCTGATAAGCAGAAAAGTTTTACAATGTTTATCCAAATTAAATCTCCTAACATTGAAATTTACCCGTCCTTAACCCTTCTCTAATCACATTATTGGAGGAGCACCTTCCATCCGTGGCTGCTGACGCAGGCTTCACGAAGGTGAGTTGTTTCCCTACAGCAGGCCTGCAGCACGCTAATACTGAGGCTTAAATCAGTTCTTCTAAAACCATTGGTCAAATAGAAGCCAGAGGACAGTCCTGACAGAATCAGGGACCAGAGAAGGAAACCTAAAAAGAATCAGTTTGGAAAGCTGGAGAGCCCTCAAGATTGTGAGATCCACAGAGAGGAGAGAGAGCAAGAGCTGGGAAAACCTGTGATTTCTTTTCCTTTGTTTTTTGATGGGGGACATATCTTTTTAACGCCTGTTGTCTGTGAAAGTGGCACTCTTGGCTAACTGCTCCAGAATTGCCAGGTGAGCCTTACATGCAAATGGTTTCCTCTTGGTCCCACTCCCTCCAGCGATGCCATGCTCTAGCAGGGCAGGAGGAAAGCAACCCAAGTATCGGCATGAAAATAAGACAAGCTGGCCTCCCACTTTGCTTTAACGATTTCCATATCCAGTATGACAAGTTCTCTTGGGACAGGCCTGCAACCACAGGCACATGTCTCGCCCTGTTAAGACTCAGTAACAGGTAAAGCAACCTGAACTCCCCTTAAAAGAGTCGGGCGCACAAACTGACGCCCACGCGCAAAAGCGAGGAAGCCGAAGTGGGCAAAACTTTCCACCCGTTTGCTTCCAATGCTCACATTCCTCCGGGGAAAGCGGATGGGGAGGGCAGCTCAGTGTACAGAGGCGTGCTCGAACCTTTCCATTGGCTTTTTTGTTCTCCTGCTCCATGCATACTGGCAGGAATCTGAACAAGATGGGGGTTTAAAAGCATCACTTTGGAAGCTTCCGAGAATGAAAATCTACCTCCTCTTTTAAAAAAATTCCTACTTTTCTCTTTGCTCAGGTTTCCCTTTTGTGGCACTTTCTTTCTCTCCCCTTTTTGTTAAATCCACCGTGCTCCTCACATTTGGAGGTAATCCTTGACAGACAATTCCTCCATCTCTGGTTACTTACACTGAAGGTTTCTCTTCTCTTACTGGTTGGTGAAACCGTGGTTAGTTCTGGGACATTAGCACTGCCTAGTTCTGTTTGTCACCTTTTAACTCTTGACTGAGTCATGGGGGCCAGGTGGAGGAGGGAGTCCTTTGTTAACTACACTCTCATTCATCCAGGCAACAGACTATAGAGTAGTAATTAACAGCATGGATTTAGGACACTTCACAAAATATGGATAGAATATAGTCTTGTGAGAATTAGATAAGGTAATATATGAAAAGCAGTTAGCATAGTGTCTGGCCTATGGTTAGCTGAGTAATGGTAGCCATTACCAGCATCAGCAGCATCATCATTGTTGTTAAGCTACACAACTTGCCAGGCCAGACAGTGGGAAATAAGGATGAATAAGGTCTACCCTTAGAGACAGGCATGTAAACAAACATAGCACCAATCTCAATCTGCCCCAGTTTTTCTGAATTCCTCATGTTCAAAAAGGTACAGGGGTTGGCCCTGTGCCCGAGTGGTTAAGTTCGCGCACTCGGCATTGGCTGCCCAGGGTTTCACAGGTTCAGATCCTGGGCACAGACATGGCACTACTCATCAAGCCATACTGAGGCGGCATCCCACATGCCACAACTAGAAGGACCCACAAGTAAAATACACAACTGTGTACTAGGGGGCTTTGGGGAGAAGAAGGAAAAGTAAAAAAAATAAATCAAAGGTGCAGAGTCCCGCCTTTGAATCAAACAATGAATTGAGACTAAATATTTTTTCACTCAACGTACTCATCAAACCTCCAAGAACTTAATCCACAAGGTTTTCTGGATGAGCCTTTGTCACTCTTTTTTATTCTTAATTTCCCTGAACTATCTGTTATTGTTTTGGTTTTCTCATGAATAGTTATTACCCATAAGAAAATGGAAAGCTGTGAAAATCCTAAGTTTCTTTCTCCTGGATGCAATAAAAACATTAAAAATTAGAACAGCAGATTCAGGACCCCCTCTTCCCCTGGAGTACAAACAAACACATGCCCAATGCTGTTAAACTTAGGCAGCTTCCAAAACTCTGATGTTAATGGCCAACATTGCTGGGTCTCAGAATTGTTAATCATGTTAGCGAATGAATCATTCCCTAAAGCGATCAGGGCTGGTATTCTGACACTAATTCCCAAGATGCAGAATACAAAGCTGAATCATATCTGCTGCTTTTAGATGACTCTGGCAGTTGGGTTTAAAGTACCAAATTTTGACAAAATACTGAATGTCTCTATTCTGTGCCTTAAGCTTTATATCGCAATAACAAGGTTGTGCTTTTGTTGCAATTTAGCTGGAAACAAAAAAAAAAATCTTAAAAATTTTTCCACATCTACATGCTCCAAATTTTTGTAGAAGTCTTTATGACTGTTACTTTGATGTACATGCCAAACAGGATAAACCCATGAAAGGCAACACTGCTAATGAACACAAGGAACTTTATGTAATTGTAATAGCCAGTTTGGCTAGTTTTATGGGTGTGTGTACATTTAATTTTGAGTTGAGCAATATCCAATTTGGCAATGAGATAGAATAATATGAGTCTTTCTGCTTGTTTGTTTTAATTACTAACAACCAGAGAAAAACTATTCATGGCAGCCAAAAGAATCAAAGTCAGAAATGCACTCTACTATTTACAGACTCCCATTAATATGCCTAAAATGGATGTCACTTATTCAGGGGTTGCAAAAGTCAGGAGTGGCAGACTTGAAGCTGTGATAAGTGAGGAAAATATATATAGATAGATGTTAAGTTTTTTGAGGGATGAAACAACTTTTCTTCTAAGCTGTGAAAGAAGTCCCAAGAATAATCACTCATTCATTCGTTAATACTAATTGTACACTCACGGGCCAGGCCCTGTTCTAGGTGCTGAGGATACCAAAATAAACAAGTAAACGAAGTCCTCTCTACATAGAGTTTACATTCTAACGAGCTATATACACAATAAACAAATAGACAAACAAAAGTATAATTTTACGTAGTGCCAAGAGCCTGACAGATAGCTAGATAGCTAGTCAGAGGATGGTTCTCTGAGGAGCTGACATTTGAATTGGGATTTGAATGGCATTGGGGGGAGGAGGTATGCAGCCATTCTAGAATCTGGAAGAAGATTCCAAGCAGAGGGAACAGCAAGAGTCAAGTTCCTGAGGCAAGAATACCCCATGACTGTTCAAAACAGCAAGAACCCAGTGAGGATGGAGCGTAGTGAGCAAGGAAGACAGAGGAGGGGGGTAAGATTAGAGGTCTTGGCAGTAGGGGAAGGTGTTCATACAAGGACCTGTGGGGTGCGGAGAGGTGTTTGAATTTTAAGCTAGGTGTCATCAGAGACTTTGAAGGATTTCATGAAAGTGAGTGCAAGATCTGACTTCTGCTTTTGTGACATTACTCTAGCTGCTAAGTGCATATAGAGTCTCAAGAACAAAAGCCATAAGCCCAGTTAAGAGACTATGAAGGGAGGTGGGCAAGAGATAAATGGAAGCTCAGACCCACGTGCTCCACAGGAGCAGTATAAAGGGGTCAGATCCAAGAAATTAAAGCTTGAGCCAATAAGATATATAGTGGATTAAGTTTGGGGATGACCATGTCCCTAAAACCATGTTGGCTAATGGCTGTATCTACTGTAACTAAAAAGATGCTCAAAAATATGTGTTAATTGAACAAACTGATCTGAGAGCCAGAAACATAAATCCCAGTTCCACTCATTTACCATCTATCTAACAGTTCTTTGCCTAAGTCTTACTTTCAGACATGTGGTGGTCATCAGGAAGACAATAATGAGGATTGAAAGAACTACTCTGCCACAGCCTTCAATCTGGAGTCACAAGTCAGGCAGTGACTGTAATAGCCCAGGCTGAGTTTATATGGAGGTGTGAATGACATAAAAATTGTCCTTCCTCCAGGGCCCCAATCTTTACTTAGATTTTATTTAATAAGTTCCCCCATTGCCTACTGAGTAGAGTTCACACTCCTTGGCCTGGCGTTTAAAGTCGTCTGTGATCTGTCTCCCATCCCTGTTACTTCCAAATATTCTCTTTCATATGCCCTATATTCCGGGAAAAACTAATTGCTCGTGTTTAAGCACTGCATTTTTTTCTTCTTCTTCCATATCTTTGCCCACGCTGGGAATTTCCTGCCCAACCACCTTCTATTCGTCCTTCACAAGATCCAACTCAACCTTTATAACATTTTCCTTAACAACCCCTCACTTCAAACCTCTCCATCAAGTCTGAACTCTTAAAAACTTCCACCCTAGTAGCTGTAGGACACATCTACCCATCTGCCAGTCATCTCATTATGTGTGTACTTTGAGGGCAAAGAGGAGCCTTGCACGAGTCATTGGCTAACATATGTGAAGAAAAGCCCAGATGTGCCCTCTTCTCTTTTCACGCTCTCTCTGTCATAGTGCAAAGGGTTTGGATCAATGCTTCATTAAACTGCACTTCTTCATGCAAATGTTAGAATAAAACAATCTGTAAGAACAACCACAGACCAATTTTCCTAGCCTTTCTGAAGTCACGGGTCTTAGCATAAGTCTAGACTTGCAAGTTTACACCTAGTCATGTCTTCTTTCCAACACATAGACACTTTTACGATCTTTGTAAGTTACTTTACCTCACTTTTCTCATCTGTAAAAATTGCGGTAATCAGGAGCCGGCCCGGCCCTGTGGCCAAGTGGTTAAGTTCGTGTGCTCTGCTTCAGCAGCCCAGGGTTTCACCAGTTTGAATCCTGGGCACAGACATGGCATTGCTCATCAGGCCAAGCTGAAGTGGCATCCCACATGCCACAACTAGAAGAACCCACAACCAAAAATACACAACTACATATCGGGGAGCTTTGGGGAGAAAAAGGAAGACATAAAAAATCTTAAAAAAAAAAATCAGGGTAATCATTATACCTACCTCACGGAGTTGTTTTGTGGATTAAGTTATTTAACATAGATAATAATGTCTAGCATATGTTTTTAATGTTATCTTCTACATCAGGGCTTTCTTGGAAGGGGAGGAAGCCGTGTAACTGACTACTCACACCTGTTCATACAGATGAACAGCCATCTATTTGGTAGTCAGATGTTATCCAGCCCCAGATGGAAACCACCTAAACTTAGTCTTGCATTTCTACCCTACTTTAGATCCTAGCCAGTGATGGCCTTAGACACGTTACGCAGGTCTGTGAACCAAGCTGCATTCCAACCAGCCCAAATGCCCACCCTACTTAGAGCTACTGGTATCTAAGTGAGCACTGCTAATGGGCGTCCCCAGTGACTCATAAAACAGACATACATACACAAAATCAATCAATCAATCAATCAAAGCAGGCCAAGGAAGAACAAAGGGAGAAGCTAAGGCTCTAAGGCTTCTAGAGTCAAGGGTTCAAAAGTGGCTGTGAGGCTTTTGGCTGAAGACCCATAACCAGAAGACTCCCATCCACTCAGTCTCCTTGGGGTTCTACTGCCAGCATTTCTTCCCTCCACCATCCTATTTCTATACTCTAGAATCAAAACAGTCACTATCTTCCTGCAGATGTGTTTAAGCCACAAGGTAAGAGGTATACCCCCATATATGAGTCATTTGTACTATCTTTCAACAGGCAATCCTTTTAATGGCGTCAGCCCACCCTCACTGTAGGGAATATGTATTGCTGGATTTCACTCTCTTGCTTTTGTACTTAACCTCCTCGGACTTCAGGTTCTGAGAGTTCTTTATTCTACAAACCGATTCGTAATGCCTGTCCTTCAAACCTCTCCTGTTTTGATGATGACCATGATGATGATGATGATGATGATGGTGGTGATAATGAACAGTTACCATGAGCCAGAGACTGTGCTCAGGAAATTATAACTCCTCACAACAACCCAATGAGTAAGGTATTATTATTATCCTCATTAAATACATGAGGAAACTGAGGCTTAAAGAGGTTATTTAACTTGGTGAAGTCACGTAGTTAGGGAGTAACAGCGTCAGAATTTAGCACAATCTGGCTCCAAAGCCCATAACCTTAACCACCTTCATCTACTTTCTCTCCTTTGAATGACCCATTTTTATTCACATCTTGATCCCAGCCTGCCTATTGACCCTTTAACTGTGCATGCCCCTAAGTTTGGGCACATTTGGCACCACAGTAAATTCCCTTGAATCTAACCAAAGAAGCCTACCTTCTGACTTGTCCATCAGAGAAGATGGACCACACAATAAAGCAGAATCAGAAGTTGATGTAGAATATTACTTATAGTCGTGGTACATATTTAATCCTGGGTTACGTTACATTGAAGCTTGGCTAACTCAATGCTAATGTCTAGTACAGTTCTCTTGCCCACATCTACTATAGGGGTGAAAAAGCTATATAACTCTTTCCCAGTCCCTTGTCAGACAAGAGAAAATGTATGACGCAGTTCTGACCAATGAGAAGTAGGAAGTCTACAGGTTAGGAGTGGACAAGCTTCTAAAAAACATTAATTTTCTTCAAAAAAAGAAAAGAAAATCACCAGTACTGATTTATTCCCCTTGTTGCTGCTTGGAATACAGATGAGATGCCCTGAAATAATGCAGCAATCTTGAGACGAGTCGGCATGCCAATACACTGAGGATGGTGGAGCAGAGAGTTAGGAAGAGTCTTGGACTTTGGAGACACTGTTGAACCTCTGGTCACCACTTGTGTGTTAGATAATTAAACATCTTTATTGCTTAAGCCAGTTAGTCAAGATTTGCAGCATAAAGCATTACTTACTGATAGAATAGTAACAATAAAGGGTTTGCATTACATGTTACAGATGCAATCATTCTAGTAAATGCTTTACGAGCTTCTAAATACACTAAGTTAAAGCCTCTAGGGATGATCGTATGGGTTCTGAGCTAGGAGGAACCTAACATCTTTGCTATAAAGACTCCTGTGCCATGGGAGGGCAAATCCTGGTAAGCAGTCCACACAGAAGGCAATCTGTTGAATTGTAGTTGATACGTTGAATGAAGCAAAATATAAGTTCAAACAAAAATGATCACTTCTATGAATTCAAGCCGGACAATATCATGATAGGAAAAAAAATGGCAATAGTCTCCAGGACTCAGAGTTAGAAACCTGGGTTCCGATCCCATCCTTGCTGCCTTGGGCATATCACTTAAGCTCCCTGGACCTCAGTATCCTTATGTATGACATGCGAGAAGGGACTGGATAACTTCTTGAGGCAAAAGCAGATCTGGAATACTTTAATTCTTTGGTTCTATGTATGTTCCCACTAAAGGCAAAAATATATGATCAGGGGTCAGTAAACTTTCCTTCTGCCTACAAAGAGCATGGAAATACAACCTTGTACCTCTACTTTCTAGATACTTTGAGTGCAAAGATAAATATTCCTTAGCCAGCTGTGCGGCAAGAATTACAGCAGAAGGATCTGCTGACAACATACATCATTAGCCAAAGTTCAACCAAATCATAAGACAGAATCAGTGTTTACCTCGTTTTATGTTCTTAGTGACATAGGGCAACCAAGGACTTCACTTGTTCCGTATCAAGGGACTTACAGAGAGGACTCATCTGATTGAGAGCTTACATAACTAAAATCAAATCTGCCCAAGAGCCAACTTATAGAGTGAGTGAAATTTTTCTTTGCTACTTCTGCCATGTTACCCATCCTTTTCCATTCTAGATCTATCCACCCATCCCTTGCCCTCCTAAAAATTAATTTCATCTCATTTTTTCCCTTAGGTAACTGCCTTCTGCTTTCCAAGGTGTTGTGATTAGATTACCAAATAAACTAATCCTGTGTTAATACTTCAAAATTCTAGCCTCACAGAGAATGTTAAATCAAGGGAAAAAGAATGATAGGGTTTACCTGAGTAATATATCCAAGAAAATAAAAATCCTGAAATTCTCAAACCTTGTCATTCAACTCCTCCATATTCTTTCTTCCTATGGTATGACACAAATCAACTTAATAAGTAGCTATTGAAGACCTTCTATGTTGAAAGTGGTATGCCAGACACTAAGGAGCTTGCAGATAAGTAATATGTCCTCTGCTCTCAAGAAACTTACTATTTATCATGGTAGTTACATAAATACCTTTAATACTATATGGCAGTCCAGAAAGCAATGTGGAAACATTAGGAAGAAGAAACTCATTTCAACTGAAAAGATCTGAAAAAACTTCAGGGAAGAATTAAAATCTAGATGTAGACAACGGCTCATGTTTATGTTCTATTCTGAAATATATTGTCTAGTTTCTGAAGTATCAACTTGTCCAAAACATAATTTAGATCAACTAGTAAAATACTATATTGGTATTTTGAATGAGCTGGTTAGGATCTTCAGTGCCACAGCAAGATGAACTCTTAAGGAAATAGATTCTGCCTTCCTTACAGCTTCTTTCTTGCCTTCCCCATCCCACATATTCAAGGTAAGTAAGGAGAGAGAATGTGGGACCCAAAGCTGGAGCGCCAACGACAGATACAGAGGCAGAATGTGCTTCTGCCAATCTCGGTGCCCTCCCTTCTGCCACTACCTAATCCTACCAGCAGGACAAACCTCCCAGGAACTCGGGTCCCATAAATCTCAACTGCAACAGATTCCTTCCTCCCTCAACTCACACCTCCTTCCCTCCTCCCCTCCCTTCCTAGCCATTATTCTGTCCTTTGCTTCTGACATGCTTCTTCCCAATGCCGCAGTGTGTCTGTTTTGATAAAAAAAAGAACATCATGTTATAAATGGTGCTGTCTGACGCTCAGGCAGTGAGCAGCCGAGGAACTATAAAGATCTGTTTAGAATCATGACTACTTAGCAGGCACACGGCGACTAGGACTTTATGACCATTAATTAGTTTATCCTCCCTGAATCCCTCTAAGGCATCCCTTATTATCTCCATTTGACAAATAGAGCCAAACTAAAATGCAGAGAAATTAACTAATTGACTGAGTTGCAATAAGAGGAAGAAGATGACAGCAGACTCTTAAAAGCAAGTCCTGTAATGAAACTTGAAGATTCTGAATACATGCCTGGCTTTCTGCAACATATTAGTATCCAAGCTTTTTGAATCCCAAAGGAGATTCTTGAAGGTTCTCTAATTTACCCACCTCCATTTTCCACATCAGAAAATTAGGGCCGACTGAAATCAAGGGCTTGCTCAAGGTCATGGTGTGACTAAGAGGGGGAGGGAAGACTCCACCCTAGATGCAGGGCTCTATCCACATGCAGAAACCCAGATCCAGAGATATGAAGTCACACAACTTGCTGGTGGCAGCGCTACACCAGATCCCCAGGAGAGATCCAAGAACAAGGGGATATTTTCTGCACTGCACAATGGCCCCTGACCAAGCAGGCAAGCCATGACTAAAATCCAGCCTGCACTCTCTCAGCCAAGCTGTATGCTTTGGGATGGGAGTAGCACCCATCTAGAAGAGGGGTAGCATCTGCCCACAGGGCTCCTGCCACACAGAGACACCTTCCTCTAACAGGTACTAAGATGTCGTACATAGACCAGCAGCAGCTCTGAGCCCAAGTCTCTTGACTCCTCTTCTAGTGTTGAATAGAAAAGATAAGTTGTCTTTGGAATACGGAAAAAGAAAAACCAAGAGTGGTATGTGCCTTCTAATTTCTATGGCATCATTGTATACCAAGAAGCAGGGAATGCAACCAGATTTCCTGGCTAAAACAGTGCCAGGATACTTCATTCTGGTTATAATATAACACTCTCTAAATGTAGCACAACTGATTCAACTCTATGCTAATTAAATATGTTTTGGATTTTGTTAAACACTTTTTGGAAAATGTGTTCAGTTGGTCTAGGTTTTGCACAAAAGACGATGCCAGAATAAGTCTTCCAAAATTATAAGGAGGTTCAGTCTCCTCTGTGCCTCCTCTGCCCAGACTGCAATTGATCCTTCATCCAACTAAGACTGGAGCTGGGCAGCAGGCACAGAAAACTCTGTCCACTTGTTCAGGAGGTAAAACTGCCAGAAGAGAGATTTTTTCATCTTAGCTAAAGGCCTAGTGACCCCCTCTCTTCTAGAAGAAGTCAACAATGCAGCTGCAACACTCCCAGTGGCTACCGCCTCTACTACAGTTATGGTATCCGGTCTCCTGGCACCCAGGCCCCTCCCTCTCCAGTGCAGCTGGTACCAGGCTGGCAGCAGCGCTATGGTAAGCGAACAGTATAGCTGTTTCAACGTGAGAAGTGAGAGTGAAGGGAGAGTCAAAATGAATCTGAGATTTCTAACTTGACCAACTGGGTACATGGCCATATCAATAATCAAAAGAGAAAAAGGGAGAAAAGGAGAGTTTCAAAGTGAAAAGAAATGAATTCTGCTTTGGAAATATTGATAGTCAGCTGGAAATGAAAGTCTGAATCTCAGAAAGGTGCAGGATAGAGCCAGAGGTACAAGAATTATCAAGCTCCTTCAAGACAAACATCATGAAGCTTTCCTCTCTTTATCTTTGCATCATCCACAAAGCCCATCATGTCTGCGGGAAGGAAGGAAAGAGAAAGGGAAGCAGGAAGACCACTTTCAACCATTTCAATGATTTATTATTACATCACAAACCACTCTAAACTTAGTGGCTTAAAACAACAATTATTTTTCACCATTCTACAAGCTGGCTAGGTAGTTCTTCTGCTTCATGTTGTGATGACCAGGGTACTAGGATGTATGGAACATCCAGAATGGCCTCATTCACATGGCTGGTAAGGGGTGGTGGGTGCCATCAGGGAGCTCAGCTGGGGTTGTCAGCCCAGAGCCTCGCTTCTCCTCCACAGACATTTCTCTGGCAGCTTGGGTTTCTTTGTAGTTGGCAGCTGGGTTTCAAGAAAAAACCTTCCAAGAGAATAGACCCAAATGTGCAAATTCTTATGGAGCTTCCACTTGCATTATGTCTGCTGCTGTCATATTGGCCAAAGCTAATTAAATGGCCAGGCTTAAATCAATGTGGAGGGGAATACACAAGGGCGTGACTACTAGGGCCGTGGTTCATTGGCGGCCACCAAAGCAGCAGTCTGCTGCACCTTCTGAAGGAATTAAGGGTTCTCCATTGCCCATAATATCACATCCAGACTCTTATGTAGGATTCAAAATCTGATCCAATTTCATAACTCACATTTCTACATGGCTTCTGAGCTCTAGACGGACTAGATTTCTTAGAATCCTAGACTCTGTGATTGGAAAGAATCCCAAAGTTCACCTGTTGCACTCACACACACACACACACACACACACACCTGTGACACACCTCGGTCCCACCTCTGGGACTTTTCTCAGACCCTGCTTCTTCTTATGTTCCTTCTAAAATCCAGCCTTTAATTTCCTTGTATCTTGCTGCAAGACCAAAACCTTTAACTACACTGCTCTTTAAAGAGACTTTCTGATTGCATACAGAATGCATTTTGTTCTTAGGGAATAAATAAGGGAAATTAGGAGTAACAAAAAGGCAGGTTGTAATGTAGCTCTGCCTCTGGAAACAGACAGACCTAAAATTCAGTCCTATCTCCACCACTTGCTAGGCCGACTCTGCACTAACATTTTGTTCTTGTCTTTTCTCTAAGACTTAATCTCCTTATGTGTAAAATGAGGATTATAATAGTAGCTACTTCCAATGATTATCGGAAGGACTAAATTATGTATGTAACACCTTTAACATGATGCCTGAACACAAGGTGAGCACTCAATTCACGTTAGCTCTAATTATCCAAAGGACACAATTCACTGTGAAGTCAATGATATGTGAACAAAGAGGTTACAACAGGGCTCTCTCATTGAGAGGCCAAGCCTTCAATGCAAACAAACTTAAAAATAAGGTGTAGGTGTGTGTGTGTGTATTGAGGGGGCAAGAGTAAATGCAGGATTTATTGGTTCAACAAAAGTCTAGGTGCAGAACAGGCTGAAGTTAGAGTTCCAGAGACTTTGGAACACCACGCTTTGTTTGTTTGGTTGTTTTCTGTTGTTTCTGTCTTTTAGTTCTACTCTGCTTTCCTCGTGGATGTCATTCTGAGGCTCCCCATGGTGGCAAGACGGTCTCAGCAGTATCACTTTCATGACCACTCATTTGTAAATCCTTTAAGAAAAGAGTGTGAGTCTCTCAGAAGTCTCAGCCAAAGACTCGCTGCATCTAGTTGGCACTGTTTGGATCACAAGGCCGTCACTGTGGGCAGGGAAATCCTATGATTAGACTGAGGCCATATGCTCAACTCCCCAGCCCCATCCTGAATACATGCGCTGAGAGTGCAAGAATGTGGTGCCCCAGAGGATGTCAGACTCTACTACCAGAAGAATAATTCCGGAGGGGAAAATAAAAACACGCTCTCACGACATTGTAGACCAAAGCATTATTTCTAATGATAAAAACTTAGGAATTACCTACAAAAAAGTTAAATGAATTGTAGAAGATGCATATGGGAACCTAGGAAGCCAGTAGTTTTAAATGAAAATTTTAATGATATGGGAAAATTGACAATATGTTTAATGAAAGAAGCCAGAACATAAATACACACACACATACACACATACTACATCCTTAAATGCTAACAATGAACAAACAGTATTTCAAGAATAATACATAAAACAGCTAGCTCAGCTGAACTAGAGAAGAGAGGGAAAAAAGAGCATTGTGAAGGAGAACGTAAGAATTAGGTATAAGAACACACACAACAGGGGCTGGCCCCGTGGCCGAGTGGTTAAGTTCCTGTGCTCCACTGCAGGCGGCCCAGTGTTTCATTGGTTCAAATCCTGGGCAAGGACATGGCACTGCTCATCAAACCACGCTGAGGCAACATCCCACATACCACAACTAGAAGGACGCACAATGAAGAATGTACAACTATGTACTG